TATTATTTTTTTTGTAAAGATGAGTGGTGGATGCCGGGTGGTGGCGGTGGCGGCCACCTTTAATCCTAGCACTGGGGGTGGGGGTGGGGGTGGGGGCGCAGAACCAGGTAGATCTCTGTGAGTTTGAGGCTAGCCTGGTCTACAAAGCGAGTTCCAGGACAGCCAGGACTGTTAAGCTGAGAAATTCTGTCTCGAAAAACAAAACAAAAGAAGATGGGTGGTGGTAAAGCTAGGAGCACAACAACATAAATTAAAACAACAATAACCTCGAGGAAGTTGACAGTACAGAGAGATTTCTGTCGGAAGCATTTGCTACTTTCAAATGTTTTAAGTATAAAGTTACTGTCTTAACCTCAGAATTCCAACTTGTAAAACTAAACTTCATGCCCATTAAACAGCAACACTCAACTCTCTACTCTGTCATATGCTGCCAAGGCCATTCTACTTTCTACGTCTAGGACCTCAACTACTCAGCTTACCATTCTCAAGGCACCTCCATGTTGTAGCATGTGTCAGACTTTCCTCGCTGGAATAGAGCTGTGTGGTAGAACTCTGGCCTAGGATGTGCAAAGTCCTGGGTTCAATCTCTAGCACTGGGGTCCGGGAATTTTTCTTTTAAGGTAGAGTAGTATCAGTGCATGCATATATCATATTTTGCTTATACTGTCAGCAGCAAACATGGCTGCTTCTGTGTTTTAGCTACCAGGAATAATGTTGCTATGAGCACGGTTGTACAACTATCTAAGTCTTTGCTCTGTGTGTGTGTGTGTGTGTGTGTGTGTGTGTGTGTGTGTGTGTATACAGACTTAGGAGAACTGCAAGATTTTATAATAATTCTATTTTTAATTTTTTTTTTTTTCAAGACAGGGTTTCTCTGTGTAGCTTTGCGCCTTTCCTGGAACTCGCTTTGGAGACCAGGCTGGCCTCGAACTCTCTATTTTTAATTTTTAAATTTTAAGTGTGATACTATTTTCTGCAGCAGACATAAAAAGTTTTAAATAATAATAATAGCAAATGCTTCCATATCATCAAGTGAAAGAAGGAAGCTGTAACTTTTATACTTAATAAAACCTTAGCTATGGAAAAAAAAAAAAGAAAAACTATGAAGTAACCACATAAAACTGTTAACCAATAATAGTGGTTTCCATTGTACTGTGGTAAGAGTAGATTTCTTTTCTCTAGTCTTTTTCTAATCTGTGCTGACTATTTGTTCTTGAGATGCACTGATAGCTGGGGAAAAGCATGAAAGAAGTTTAGTAGAAACATATTTCCTTTTGACCATCATTTATATCATCCACCCTACTGAGTCTAACGTACACACAGCTCACCAAGTTTTCCTTATCTTTTTGATTTTAGTTTTCTTTTGTTTCTTGAAAAAGTTTCACTGTGTAGCTCAGACTGGCCTGAAATTTGCAACAATCCTCGACTCAGATCCCACTTAAGTAGTAGGATTAACAGATGTGTACCAACACACATGGTTTATTTCATCAAGTTTTCTAAAAGGAACATCCAATACATATTTATTCTTTTATGACTGACAGAAACACAGGTAACAAACCACTTCTGAAAAATCTGAAGCCCAATATAATTGTAATCCCAAATTATAACCAACGTAAATAAGCCTTTTCCTCTTCTTAACCCTGCTGAAAGAGCTTTTCCAAGTCCTTCCTGTCTGGGCAGGGCTGTGAGTCTGCCCTGGCAGCAGAGCTGGAGCCTGCAGATAGCAAGGCGGCAGGCAGGGCCACCTCTAGACAACCTTTCCAGGCCAGAGGCTAACTCTAATGCTTACTTGGTTCCTGACCTGGGTTGGCTGAGTTTTCTGCTGGGAGTTGGTGACTGCCTCCTTCACACTAAGAGAAAGACTGGCTGAGGAGGCAAGCCAGGAAAAGGGAGAAGGAGGAGACACAGGCTTAATGAGCTGATTTCCATAAAGGCTCTGACATCTTGGAATGAAAAGCAGCCTATAAGAGAAAAAGCCTAGTCCTTTACTCAAACCACATTGCCAGCTGGCCATTTATCACCTAAAATTCCCCCAACAACCCCGTGTGTACTGCTCAACCAGCTCATAGAAATAAATTCTTATTAATCTTGCAAAATCAAAACATGAATATAAACAAAAGTCTTTATGTGCTCTCAATTTTAAACTGCAAATTTAAAGATTCAATTGATTATCCATAGCTCCAATAAACTGTTTTAGAACCCTCTGGAACAAAAGGTTAAGTAACTGGCACACGCCCTAGAATTCTTGTGCTTATTGGACGGAACTGAACTCAATGATCAAATGAACTTCAAGAGAAGGTGTTGCTGCTAGAACTTAAACTAACATTTTCTTTGCCCAGCAACAGTAATTTTTCATAGGTTACAAGAGAAAGATACAGAGAGGCCTCAGTGAGCCCGAGGCACATTTATCTTTCATGTGCAAATAAGCAGGAATACAGGGCCTCTTCAGCAGTTGGATCTGGACTACTCTGCACTGTGACATCTTCATGGCAGAGGCAGGGAAGAAAGGATCTGCTTTGAGGGGACTGCCATGACCCCAAATGGGCTCATCTGAGCATGCAGTTAACTGGTATAGAGAAATACCTCCCACAGCAAGAGGCCCTCAGAGACAAGGTAGGCATGGGGCAGGTGAAGGTTTCATTACCTACATGGAGTTCTACGGTCCCCAACTCAGGGCCTGTGGGCACTCCTCAATGATGTGGATAATACAGAACAGCTCGTGCAAAGCTCTGGAATGTACTGTGCTTTGGCAGCAGGATTTCCTTCCAAACTCTATTCTAGGCTCTGAACACACCCTGATTAATCTTTGTAAAAAAGTATGTTGGGGAATAAGAGGAGGTCTGGTGTTAGCAACCATCCACAGACCACCCACTGAGTGGAAAGTTCACACTTGGATAATAGAGAGTTGACTGTCCTGCACTCTGGGCAAGGAGGCAGAAACCCAGCAAGGCCATGTGACTCATGGCTTCCCTTGCCAGGCTATGGAGATGGGAGGAAAACTCAGAGGAGGTTGGAAGGGATGCTACACTGAGAGGGCTGACTGGACAACAGCGACAGGGACCATGGGGACGCTGCCAAGGCAGGTGGGTTGACGCCACGTCAGCAGCTGACTTCAGGCACTGAGAAACTCACGTCATCACGGGCTGGCCTGTCCCCCCATCTTCTTCCTCATGCCACAAGAAGGCACGGACTCAGGAAGCAGGCAGGTGACAATTTCCAATGAGCCGAAGAAAAGGGTAGAACTCCTCCTTCACAGCGGCTCAAGAACCAAGGCTTGATACTTGGAGAAGTTATGGCTGGAAAAGGGTTTCAGCAGAGTGACTTCTGGAGGACCTCCACTTCCTGACCCCAGAAATAACAGTGAGGAAGACCTGACCTGTTACTTGGTGAAAAGCTAAGGGACAAATGTGACCCCATGTCTCTGTTCTCCCAGGAAGTGATCTTAGAGAGGCCAAGGGCACCAGGGCTGCATAGAAGGTAAACGGTATCGGCTGCCATAACTGTATTGGCACTTCAGACAGAGAAGTGCCAATGTCCCTGCTCACAGTTTTAAGTATTACCTGAAATAGTCATCAGACCCCCAACCACCATACACACCACCATGGACACCCACCACTGACTCCTCTTCACAAAAAGGTTTCCTTCAGGAGCTTTCAGTGTGCCTGTGTAATTTTCTCCGCCTCATGGAGGGTTATCCCATCATTTCACATGGCCACCTTTCTATCTATGCTATTACCTAAGCCTGGAGTTCTCCCTGCCTTGGCCATTTGGTAAAACTACCGTCTCTGAATGAGCCTGCTATTGACCCTCCCCCAACTCTCCTCTGGGTCATGCCTAGACTGCTTACATTGTATCCCACTTGTTACCATACCTAAAACACTGAATGGAAACACGTGGTCTACTCATCTTTCGAACCTTCTAGGAGCCAGGTCTAGCTCTTTTCTTTGCATCTGTCTGCGGATCCACAGGCTGACTGATGGTGGCCTGTGGCTCACCAGTGCTGTGCTTAGTTAGGGTGACTGGGGCCCTCACAATGCCCATTACTTGACTTCCCATACAGGGTGGGGATTCTAACAGAAGTAAACAGAAGCACAACATTTACCAAACAAAAAAGAGTGGCTGCTACATTCGACACCAAAATACCAACTCAAAAGCTGAGGGGGCATGCTATGGCGTGGGCTGTGGTAAGGGGGCACACTGTCCTCTTCCTCGCTGCCTTTGCCGGAGCCAACTCACTCAGAGGCCCTTGCAGGGACAGTCTTACAGGAGCTGGGCACCTAAACCAAGACTTTGAACATGGTGTTAGAAAGACTATTGTCTACATGTAACAAATTCTTTTCATGCCTTTATACTCTAAGTTCCAGAATAAATACTGGTAACAGAAAGACAAAAGAAAAGAGAAGAAGAAGCCAAGTGCCCATTCCGCTTTGCTTACATACGCTATCCTTCTCTGCACCTAACCATGGCAACTTTGATTTCCCTTTCCATGTCAAGTCCCGTTCAGTGCCTGCTCAAGTCACCCAAGAAAGAGTCTTTAAGCAGTAAGTTACCATGGCTCTGAAGGGTTTGTACAATGCAGACCAGTCAACTGCTGTCATGGTAAGGGTAAGAAATTTCGGACTGTTGAATCTTATCACACCTCTGACCCCATCACTCAGCAATTATAGAAAAACTGTCAAGAAAGTATTTTCTTAGCCGGGCAGTGGTGGCACATGCCTTTAATCCTAGCACTTGGGTGGCAGAGGCAGGTGGATCTCTGAGTTCGAGGCCAGTTCCAGGTCAGAAACTGTTACACAGAGAAACCCTGTCTCGAAAACCAACCCCCTCCACCCCCCCAAAAAAGAAAAAGTATTTACTTAACCACAACACAAGGGTCTAAAATATTCTAGTAAGTCTGAGAAACTCATGTGAATAACTTAAAACTCCTGACAACTAGAAACAGCAATTCTTGAACACACTGCTAACCCGGTGACACCTCCTCACGTGGGTCTTTTACATACCTCATGGCTAGCCAGAGTTTGGCTTTGGTACAAGCGGTGACATCACTCAACTCCTGCTGAAAATCTGCAGTGGTTCTGTGTCTGGAGTCTGTAACGTAGGCTTGTAATAAATGAAAAACCTGAACAGGAAAAGAGAAAGGCAATATTTTGCTGTGAAAATGCTTTTCATAAATGCTCAGGTCCTCTCTTTTAGATTTCCTCAAAATAGTCCCCTCAAAGGAAGCAGACACCTGCAGAATGTGACTCTGGTCTGCACAGGGAAGCATGCTCAAAGCTGTCAGGTGGGGAGGATACAGCAGTGGTGAGAAGTCCAAGGCCCAGCCACACCTGTGCTCTGCGTGACCCAATTCCCCAGGTCGGGATCATGGTGACCACATAATCATCTGCCTCAAGAGTTTCTTAGTTAGAAACAACCTATACACTGAGTTGAGCAAAGAAGAGCAATTATTGCTATGCCAGCAGCCTTACATGAAACTAAACTCCAAGTCTTCGTGTAGGAAGGAACTGTGAGTCTAAGTGGTTTAGACGTAAGTCTGGGTTCATTACGACAGTGTGGGCTAACGAGGCAGGCACACCACAGCACGCCTGTGTGGACGGGAAGTGGTGTCTGTAACAGATCTCTCAGACTTTCCCTTGGCAGACAGGGGAAGGGACAGCAATCAGATGGGGTGCATGCTCTTGACACGTACATGGCAATTATATACCAGAATTAAAATCTGACAGGGCAGATCCCGGAGGCTCTCTAGTGTTTGTATTTAGGATGGTGGCCCTGTTTCACCACACAGGCAAACCAGACCACGGGCAAATGTGTGTGGACTCCACTCAGCAACGGCCCACATTGCCTCTGTGAGGAGCACAAATCTTTGGGGAAGAACGGATGAGACGGAGGGTAGATAAGGTTCTCTGACCTGAAGGACTCACGGTAGATGCCTCCTTTGATCGGCTCCATTATCGACATATGATGAGGACGGTGGTGGAAACAAAGTACCAAGAAACACACGAAGAACTTGAAAATCGACTTTATTTTATTTTATTTTTCTGTTTTATCCTCTGCCATGAGTGCTGGGATTACAGACACATGAGCTGCCGCCTCTGGCTTTATGTGAGCTCTTGGGATAAGTCCACATGTAAGTAATTTACCCAGAGTGCCATCTCCGGGTCTGGGCCTCAGTCTTCCAAGTGCTGGGATTACAGGTATGAGTCACTAGCCCGGATTATCCACCCCCTCCGCCTGAGATAAGAACTCAAGTAGCCCAGGCTGTCTCAAACTCTCTATGGAGCTGAGGCTGGCGTTGAACAGGATCCGATCCTCCTGCCTCTGCTTCCTGATGGAATTACAGGTGTAGGCCATTGTGCCCAGTGCAGCTTCTCTCTGAAGCAGGAGTCCACAGGAGTGTGTACTCCTCACCCTGTATGAACACCGAGACACTTTCTCTCTGACAAAGGGCCTGTTCTTTCAGACATACCAGGCCAGATGCTGCTCCCTCACCACAGCCTGCAGGGACCAAACCACCCGGCATGGAGCCTGGAGAACTGGGCTGGCTGGGGCTTCTGTTCCTATGTGGTGACTGCCAGAGGGAAAAATACCTCCCTCGGCCTCAATCCCCACTGTCCCGAAAGAGCTGGCAAAGTCACTGGGCCTTGCTTTCTTTTCTACACAGCTGCACTAAACCAACCACCAGGGCTTTCATGTGTCACAGCGCTGTAATTAATCAGCAGACACCAGCAAAACACACGACTGTGGAATTTACTTGTCAAGAGAACCGTGAGGTTTCTAATGCTTCTCATTTAGAGGCAATCACTTCAGAAATAACTCCCGGTGGATGTTTAAGCTCTGGCCTATATTTGCTCACCTTGCTTGGCAAAAACAAGACTGTTTTTGCAACGCTTGGTAGCTCTGGCTTATGAATGTCAGCCTACGGGCCCATCAATTCTGTCACCCTGGGCACAAACCAGACAACAATTGCGATCCTAGTCACTCCCCAAGGACAGAGAGTGATCTGTCTGCACCCGACAAGTGGATACAGAGGTGCATGTAGGCAAACCTGGCAGAAACAAGCAAGTGGAGAGGCAGAACAACCCAAATTGAGCACATGTCAGAGAAGCGGACGAGACTGGGGCAGGGAAGGAAAAGGAGAAGGATGAGAAGACAGATGAAGGAGAGGAAAGGCTTGCAAACAAACGTGAAGTAGATTAGTGTTTCTGAGAATGAAAAATACTGGAATGCACAACCACCCTCACATGTTGTTTCTAACACTGGACTCAAGAAAAACTAGACAATCATTAGTGTGAAGTTCAGAGAGAAGGCCAGGGAGCTCTGGAAAGAGCCACTTGTTCCTCAGCTCTTGGGGCCGGCAGACGTAAGGCCACTCTTCTCTCTCCCCACTTTGCCTAAAGTGTTGGTATAGAGTATGGTTGAGTCCAGGCCTGGGATAGCCTGCAAACAGCCGGAACCAAGCATGGAGAAGCTACAGCTGCCAGACAGAAAAGGATCAGAACTCATCAGACACCAGGATGCTGCCAAAGACAGTGCTAGTGTAGACCCCAAGACTGCAACAGTACTCAGTGCCCCAAGTCTGCAACAGTACTCAAGGACCCCAAGTCTGCAACAGTACTCAGGGACCCCAAGTCTGCAACAGTACTCAGGGACCCCAAGTCTGCAACAGTACTCAGGGCCCCAAGTCTGCAACAGTACTCAGGGACCCCAAGTCTGCAACAGTACTCAGGGACCCCAAGTCTGCAACTGTACTCAAGGACCCCAAGTCTGCAACAGTACTCAGGGCCCCAAGTCTGCAACAGTACTCAGGGCCCCAAGTCTGCAACAGTACTCAAGGACCCCAAGTCTGCAACAGTACTCAGGGCCCCAAGTCTTCAACAGTACTCAAGGACCCCAAGTCTGCAACAGTACTCAGGACCCCAAGTCTGCAACAGTACTCAAGGACCCCAAGTCTGCAACAGTATTCAGGACCCCAAGTCTGCAACAGTACTCAAGGACCCCAAGTCTGCAACATACTCAGGGACCCCAAGTCTGCAACAGTACTCAGGAACCCCAAGTCTGCAACAGTACTCAGGGCCCCAAGTCTGCAACAGTACTCAGGGACCCCAAGTCTGCAACAGTACTCAGGGCCCCAAGTCTGCAACTGTACTCAAGGACCCCAAGTCTGCAACAGTACTCAGGGACCCCAAGTCTGCAACAGTACTCAGGGCCCCAAGTCTGCAACTGTACTCAAGGACCCCAAGTCTGCAACAGTACTCAAGGACCCCAAGTCTGCAACAGTACTCAGGGCCCCAAGTCTGCAACAGTACTCAGGGACCCCAAGTCTGCAACTGTACTCAAGGACCCCAAGTCTGCAACAGTACTCAGGGCCCCAAATCTGCAACAGTACTCAGGGACCCCAAGTCTGCAACAGTATTCAGGACCCCAAGTCTGCAACAGTACTCAGGGACCCCAAATCTGCAACAGTACTCAGGGCCCCAAGTCTGCAACTGTACTCAAGGACCCCAAGTCTGCAACAGTACTCAAGGACCCCAAGTCTGCAACAGTACTCAGGGCCCCAAGTCTGCAACAGTACTCAAGGACCCCAAGTCTGCAACAGTATTTAGGGACCCCAAGTCTGCAACAGTACTCAAGGACCCCAAGTCTGCAACAGTACTCAGGGGCCCAAGTCTGCAACAGTACTCAAGGACCCCAAGTCTGCAACAGTACTCAAGGACCCCAAGTCTGCAACAGTACTCAAGGACCCCAAGTCTGCAACAGTACTCAGGGACCCCAAGTCTGCAACAGTACTCAGGGCCCCAAGTCTGCAACAGTACTCAAGGACCCCAAGTCTGCAACAGTACTCAGGACCCCAAGTCTGCAACAGTACTCATGGGCACATCATCATCACCTACCTGGCTTTTCATGATCTCATGCTTGTGACCCTAGGGCATGGCAGGAACTCAACAAGCACTTCCTGTATGGCACAGACGCTGGTGCTTGGTGTCTCTTCTAATATTAACTCTCTCAGGGCACACTCCCATGAACCCTGTACACTTGCAGTAGGTACCAAGTGTGTTCAGGGTAGACACACAGCTAAAAGATACTATGCTCCTCACACCCCCATGACTCCCCATGTGATAGGACAGCAAGGTCTAATCCTGAGACTCCCATTCACGGCATACACTCTGGAGGCAGACATGGCTGTAAACCAATGACTGGCTATGTCCTTAGGTCCACTAACTTAACTTCTTCTGTTTCCCAACAGTGAATAGAGTAGATGGCAGTCTCTTCTTTCTTTTCCGTTATTACTTAGAGAGACAGAGAGACAGAGAGAGAGAAACAGAGAGACAGAGAGCACATGCGCACACATGTAGAGGTCAGAGGACATCTTCTGGCAACCAGTTCTGGTGATGGAACTGAAGCACTTGTACTCTCTAGGCTGAGTCATTTTGCTAGTCCAGTAGCTCCCTCTGTGGGAATATGTTCCAAGATCACTGGTGGGTACTGAAACCTTGCTTTATATAAACCCTACTGAACAGTATATTTCTCCCTCTTCACCGCCCCCAACACCTCTACAAAAAATTTAACTTTCACACTAATCACAACAAAAAAGAAACAACAGTAATAAAACAAAAGACAACAATATACTGTAATAGACGTTACTTAAAACCTATATATGTCTATTTCTGGAACTTTCTTCTCCTTTTGTTTTCTTTTCTTTTTTCCCAGTTTCCCTGTATAGCTCTGGCTGTCCTGGAACTTGCTCTGTAGACCAGGCTGGCCTGAACTCAGAGATTTACCTGCCTCTGCCTAGGGAGCACTGGGATTAAAGGTATGGGCTACTACCGCCCAGTTTGGAACTTTAGTATTTTCAGATGGCAGCTGATGGTAATTGAAACTTCAGAAAGAGCCACTAATGGGAACAGAGGGACAATAATGTTTAAATAATGAAATAATGTTTCTCTTTTGACTAGAGAGATGTGCTTATTTTGATACTGACACACACACACACACACACACACACACACACACACACACACACACACACGCACACAAACACCCCTACCTATCTGGCATACATTACATTCCTATTGTGCATGCATTTGTCTGTCTCCTCCCTATAAACCCCATTCTGAAAAT